AATTTAAGGGGTGTCAAAACACTTAGTAATTTAAGTGACACAAATGCAGTATTTCAAAAATCAAAATTAATCCACAAATTCCATGATAAACAGAAGATCAAGATTTTCAATAAAGACAGGCTTTGACCTTGTACTTGCATGACCCTTTCTCACATACCTTACCCTAATACTGGCCCTGGTTCCAATAAAACTGTATTTGTAAAACTCAGCGGCTGGCCCATGGGCTACAGTTTGTCAATTTGATTTTTTAAAAAAATACTGCAGTAAAACATTATTTATCTTGAACTGAGACTTTGGGTGCCTGCTTAAATTTTGTGCCTCACTCACCTCACCCCAGTTCCAAGCCCTAGGAGTTTGGATTTAATTCTCAGTTGAAATGGTAAGCAAATGAAGCTTTTCAAGTAAGGGGCTGATGGGATTTAAGTTTTAAAAAGATGGCTTTGGCTGCTGCATAGGTTGAAGGGAGGTCAAATGTGGAAACTGGGAGACTAGTTAGGAGGCTGATGCACTAGCCTAGTGAGTCTGCTCTTACACAAGTCGCCAAAGACCACTCTGGAGTAAAGACAGTGGCCACGTCCCTGCCCTCACACGTCACGGGACATCTCTGAGTCTGTCTTCCTCCCGCCATTCTCTCCTGGCTTTCCTTCTACCTCACTGACTTCTCCTCCTCAGACTCGAGTCCTCTGCCCTCTTCTGTTCCCAGACAAACCCTTGGCCTTTACTACCACCAACAGACACCCCTCTAGTCCTGACTCTGTCCCCTCCATACATGCACATCCAACTGCCAATCTGCCATCTCCGCTGGATTTCTAGTGCGCAGACTTTACAAGGTGGATGCTCACGTTCATAGATATTAAGATAGGTGGCCTTCCTCTCTGTACCATTGGGATCAGTCCAATCACAAACTTAGATCTTACAAAACCTCTTCATGTTTTCTTTGGTTGATTTTAGGATGTTTAAACATTTTTTAACAATTAAAATAACATGTATGTGTTTACACTAGGAAAGCAACATGGGTTCACTGGATATTTTTATTTCTGCTCCCCAAACCTGTTAATCTTCCACCTGCCTTTTAGTAGAGGCCAGCACTACCATTTTCCCAACTGCTCAAGACAAAAATTAGGAGTCTTGTTGAATTTTTCCCTTCCTCTTTTCTCTTACACCCAAATTCACCAGCAAATTCCATCAATTCTATTGCCAAACGTGTTTTCATTTTTCTTTTAATAACATCAGCACTGACCTCAGTAGGCCTACAAAAGACCCAGCTCCCACACACCTAGGGTGGGCCCTTCCCAGGCAGGAGAAGCTGGAGTGGTAGGGGGTGGGGTGGGGAAGAGTGTGTGAACAGGAGGGTTGTATTTCCAGGACAGGTTGTAGGGAGAGAGACTGGCTTGGCTTTTAGGAGGGGGAAGATGCAGGCAGGAGAGGTTCCTCATGTGCCCGGGCCTCCCCAGGTGGCACAGAGGCTGGAAGGAGTCCCAGCTTTAGGTCTACTGCACACACTCCCTCACATCCTGTGCTGGGTCCACACATCTGGATCTGGGACCAGACGGAGGAATACTCCAGTGGGCCCTGGGAGGTGCATCTGGTCGACCTTGGAGGGGGCAGGGGGATCTCAGTGAACACGTGTCTAGCCATCATCTGGGAGCTTGCCTAAGCAGAGAGGATTGGCGACAATGCTCAGCCAGAGCTCAGCTCTTACAGCTCAGAATCCACGGCCTGGCACAAGGTTGACAACAGGTGGCAGTGTCCCCAAACCACAGCGTCACTGTGCCAAGCTAACTCCTCTGGGAGCCAAGTTCATGACAGCAGAAGACACTTAACTAGCAGCTATGTCTACAGGCCCTGTTTACATAGACTGATGAAGTTTGTTTGCTTGATTTGTTGTTGTTCGATGTGGCTTTCAGGATGGCTGATATGAGGTTATGATGCTATGACTTTTCATGTTATGTGATTGCAAGCTCCTGCTTCTAGAGATGGTATTAATTTTTTAAATACAGATCTGAATGATTTCATTAATCATCTCCCCACTTACCAAATCAGTGGATTTGATTCAGCGACTACTGATATTGAATGCTCTCTGCATACTAAATATAAACTGTTTTGACCCCACTGAGATGAAGAATTTTTATCTTAATGTTAAATATTGAAAAATTATAAATATGTGCTTTACTTATGCCTGCACTTTACTAAATTCAGTGGGTGCTCTAGTATAAAAATTGTAGATTTAATAGTTCTTATCTACTAAACTGTCCGTTGCACAGATCAAAGGACCTATTGTTCAGGCCAGTTGTTCTTATGTTTTTCATTAATCTTGTTTCTTTGCTGTATCTCTAGCTTATTTTTTTACATGTTCCTGCTACTTCACACTTGCCGTCATCATTAACTTTCAGTAACTGGTGGAAATGCCCCTAAAATGGTAGCAAGTTGAGCACAGAACCTCTGGGGTATACTCCTCTGTAGGTGGAGTGTTTGTTGCTGATGGGCCAGCAAGTGAATCTAATTGAGATATGCTCCGGAGGACGGATAAGATGGACTTGTTGCCATAGATACCATGTCCCATGACAACTGCCCCAAACACTCTTGCATCCTTTGGAAGGGGCAGATGCGTCATGTCTGAGACTTCTCTATTTACTAAAAATAATGATGAACATCTGTGTATCTCTTTCCAGTTCGTAAAGCACTTGAAATATGTCACTCTTT